GATACTACTGGAGAGCTTTTATGTATAAATTTTCTCATGTAAGGATTACATCCTCTTTAAAATATATAATTCATTTTTTGTTTTATTAATGGTTTGACAACACATAACAACTCTTTAATGAATATTTGCCTTGTTCACTGTCCAAAATAGTTTTGAATAAAATCCTTCAATTGTTGTCACTGAACTATGTGTATTTACTTTGAAGTCAAGCACAATTACTCTCTACAGGCCTATTTGGTCGTTTCAGTAATTTCCAAGTGTCTGTCAATGGTCTTATTGATGTCGACTCCTACACTGGTTAGACAATATGTCACAGACTAACGTACTAATTTTATAACGGAAAATTGGAGCATTAAAAGTCCTTTTGCAGCTTGACAATGGTTCGCAACTTCATTGCCTTCAGTCCTGGCCAGCTGATTCATTCCAGAATTATCTCAACCAAGACGCATGGTTTCTAATAGCCTCACCACAGTTGTACCTAACTGTAAATAGACATGCCACAGTGTGAAATGACAGGTCCATAGGCATTTTTTATAAGTTGTTTTATTTAAACCAAGTTTTTGACTTGACACAATCATTAAAACTAGTTTTTTAGTTTGTTTGTTTTTTTATTTCAACAAGGTCTCTATGTGGGCGTAGGGATGTAGCGACCCCATCACCCTGCACGCCCTTACCGGTGGGTGGGGAATGCAGCAATTAGCCTGGTTTCTCCAACCTACAAAGGAGCGGCTGACCGCTGTCCGTAACTGTAAGATATCCATCTTACCTAAAATCCTTTCCCGAACCCCGGGAGCCAATGGGTGGATTGAGTAGCTCGGAGGCTTTCATTTTCTAACCTTAGGTGTATCCTTACCATTCCCCTTTTCCTGTTCAGAAGCGGAAGTGCTTCAAATAGGGGTAGATTGAGCTCCGGAGTCTTGGAAGACACTAAATCTAAGGGAAGAAACCCTGAAAGAAAATTACCCGGTCCTCCTGGAAGGGGGTTGAGGCATGGGGCCAGCACCCCCATACTCGGAAAATAAAAAAAAGCCACTCAAACTCTCAATGGAAATGAGCCTCGGATTAACTCATGACGTCGACAAAGGCAAAGAAAATGGTCTATGAATTTTGGATGCTGGAATGTTCAAGGTTTAAGCACAAAAGAAAATGAAGTTATTACGTAATAGAGAGTTTAACATGGATATAATAGTGTTGAGTGAAACAAAAAAGAAGGGAAATAGAAATGAAAGGAAAGGAAATTTTGTTCACTTTTTTAGTGGAGTGGGAAAAGAGAAGCGTGCAAGAGCAGGATTGTCCATAGATGTACATAAAAGATTGGAGAAAAATATTCATAGCTGGGTAGAAATTGATGAGAGAATAGCATGTCTCGAACTTGTACTAAGAGGATGCAACAGACGAAGCAAGTGTGGCAGAAAAATATATATTTTTAGAGAAACTGACTATGCTGCTGGATTCTATTGGAAATTGCAAAGAAGTGGTGCTTCTAGGTGATTTTAATGGAAGAGTTGGAAAACGATTGGCGCATGTTGTGGGGCGATATGGAGAAAATGTATAAAATGGCAACGGAGAAAGACTTATAGAGACATGTGAACTGTATGACCTTAAAATATTGAATGGCTATTTTCCACATAAAGAAATACATAAATTCACGTGGACCCAACCCACTAGAAAATTGCAATCAATAATTGCCTACATAATTACTAAACAACAGTCATCAATAAAGTGGAGTGATGTTTGGGTTCAAAGAGGTGCTTCCTGTGGATCAGATCGCTACTTACTAAAAGGAAAAGCTTACCTAATACCGTACTTCAATGGTATATAAACCGTACTTCAAAAGTTACGGAAACACAAAACCAAGTACAAAATGTAGAAAAATAGAGTCAGATGTGGCCGAAATACAATATGACGCCTCTGAGCTAAATTCAAATCGCTAGTTTCTCGCCCAAGAAATACCTCCTTTCTCTGCTAGTTGGTGAAAGGAGCGTAGCGAAATTTGCGTGGTCAGACGGAAGAGCGGGCCTGATGGCCCGAGTCTCGCCACGTAAAATAAGGCATTAATTCAATTCAATATTGAGAGCCTTCAAGATGATTCCATTGCATTTTTGTACAAATAGCGCATGGTAGAAAAAATAAAGTACATCCCAATAGGAAATACTAAAGAAAAATACCAATTTTTAGAAAAATGCACTCATGAAGCTGCTAAAGAAGCTTTGGGAGAGAAGGGAAAAGTGAATATAAACAAAAAGACTTGTAGTGGACAGAAGATATAAAGAACCTGGTCGAAGAAAAGAAAAACTTATATTTGAGATGGCTTTCCACAAAGGATTTAGAAGACAGAAGTGAATACAACAGAATGAAATATTTGGTCAAGAAAGAAGTGAGGAAGACAAAAAATGTATTCTGGGAACAAAAATGTGACCGATTAGACAAGTGCATTGGTAACACCAAATCCAGAGAGGCATGGAAAAGGTTACATTCCATGAAATTGAATAGAACCCAAGAATGGCATTTAGTAGACCCAATTGGTATTGAAAAATGGCAAGAATACTATGAAAATGTTTTGACAGAAAATAGAGCTAAATTTCAAGGAATAAATTATGAACCACTGCACGTAAATTTGATCACACCAGATGAGACTTTGGAAGAGTTAAAAAAAGCGTTACGAAACATGAAAAATAATAAAGCACCTGAGCCTGGAGGTATATCCACAGAGCTGGTTAAACATTATCCTACCGTAGGTTTGGAATTAATTACTAAAATATTCAATGGCATTTTAAAAGGAGGTAAAATACCTGAAATATGGAAATTAGCCTATATAAATTCAATTTACAAAAAAGGTTGTATAAAATATTGTAATAATTATAGAGAGATAAATGTGATTTCATCTTTGGTTAGACTGTATGGACGAGTGCCAAAGAATAGAATTGAAATGCAAACATCAGACTCAGAAGAGCAAAGTGGTTTTAGACCAGGAAGATCGTGTATTGACAATATTTTCAGTCTCAAACAACTGATGGAAAATAACAATTGAGCGAGGAAGAGAACTTCACATAATTTTCATTGATCTCAAAAAGGCTTATGATAATGTACCTGTAAAAGAAGTATGGGGGGCAATGGAAGAAAAAGGAATATCAACAACATACATAAATGCAGTCAAACAACTTTATAAAGATAACAAAAGTCAAGTAAAAGTTGGAAAATGTCTATCAGACAACTTCACTCATGGATTACGGCAAGGCTGCTGTATATCTCCAACCCTGTTTAAAATACACATTGATAAAGTCCTAAAAGAATGGAAAAGAAAGTGCAGAAGCATGGGGGTGAAAATAGGTGATGAAACATTGTTTAGTCTACTATTTGCAGATGACCAGGTGATAATGGCTGAAGATAAAGATGATGTAACTTATATGTTCAGAAAATTAGTAGAAGAGTATGGAAAATGGGGGATGAAAATAAATTTACAAAAAACTGAATATATGGTAGTGGGAGAGACTGATTGACTCGATGATTTAGAGACTTGTATAGGAATAATTAAAAGTAAAACACAATATAAGTATTTGGGAGTCACAGTAACAGCAGATGGTAGAGACAAACAGGATGTGAAAAATAAAAATATAAGAGGAAAAATAGCCACAAGACAGTTGAATCCAGTGCTATGGAACTCAATTATTTCAGTGAAGACAAAGAAACGCATATATAGCTCCTTCATAAAGAGTACCACACTCTATGGGGCAGAAGTCTGGACACTATAAAAAAAATTGAAAGACAAATTTCAATCAACAGAAATGATGTTCTCACAAAGATGTTGTCAACTTTCTCTGTTAGATAAAATAAGAAATAAAATGAAAGTGCAAACAACCTTGAACGAGACGATCGAAATGAAACAACTAAAATGGTATGGACATATGAGGAGGTTGAAATCGGATAGACTTCCTCAAAAAGTTGGGGAGTGGATACCAAATCGAAGAAGATACAGGGGAAGACCGAGAAGAACATGAAACATGGCAATAACTGAAGCCATGGAAAAAAGAGAAATGGATGAAATTGGGATGCGGAAAACAGCCAAGGCTGTAAAAAACCACTAAATAGATAGAGATAGGGTCTCTATGTCTGATTATGACAAATGATCATCACCTTACAATGTACATGTTCAAAATTCAAAGCATATCATTTTTTATAAAAAAAAAATCACGAATTTGGGAATCCTCAACTGCAATGATACATAGAAGGAACCAGACACCAGAATAGCGGAGTTTAGTCCCTATGAGAGACAAACATATAAAGGGTTTAAGTTAATACAGCCTTCTAACCTTCCTGAAAGATTATCTGTCAAAGTCATAATATATGAAATGAGGATTATCAACCCTTGAGCATTTTCACTGTTCAGCAAAGCTGTGCCTAGCACTCGCCTCCAAAACCAGACACTTAAATGTTTCATATCTATGTACAAAGAGGAGCAATCTGAAACCACAAAAGCAAGCTTTTCAGCATCAAAAATACAGAATGTGATGTGTAAATTCAATAACTTCTTTGTTCCAGAACACAAAACAGTAACTTTATTATTTGAAGGCAGCAATTTGAATGAGTAAAACTGAAAAACTATACGTTTCTTTTTAACAGAAAGTAACAGGATATACTAATATACTTGAGGGAAAAAGCATGTAAAAATATAAATGTCTAAAAAGGTTTTAAAAAATTAGCAAGACTGTTCCATTTTTCATAATTCATGTTCATATACAAAAAGACATCAACTATTTGCATTTGAATAAACTAGGTATTTTATTGAACATGCCATGTTCCATTGAAGATGCATCACGCATGTTTGGTGAGAAGTGAAACAAATTATAGTCCTTGTGTTACCCACTGCTCAATCCCATATTTAAAAAGTTTTACGACCTCTCATTAAAAAGACACTTTTCTTCAGTTACCATCTGAACCCAAAGTACTTTGATGAGAAACAATAATCACTTTATATATGAGAAAAGAATTTATTTTTAAATTTTTTAAAAGACAAATACAGCAATATTCAAATAAAACTAATGGCAGACATCAATATTTATCAATTAAAAGAATACCACTTCACTGACACCATGATGGAAGTAAAATTAATGCAATTATTGCATGTAATATTTTCACTTATTGACTGCAGTACAATGGTAGATAATCATACAAGAAATGAAAAACATTGTTTCCAAGCAGGAAAACCTGTTAATAATGCAACATTTAATAGCATTTGCATCATTAACCAGTAGTGTTTTTTTCTTTTTCTATTTTTGGATTCATGCATTCGAAATTAAGAACTTGTTTGAGAATTGAAAAGGCTGACAAAAGTATTTTTACACTTACTATTTAGCCTGAAGAATAATTGGTAAAAGTTTGTTCTTTGGAGGTACAGAGCACATGACCATTTCTTGAGAAAATAAGATATACTCATCCATCATTACTCTTTCTGCTACTACAATGAATAATGTTAAAAGACCTTCATAATGAAGTTGGAAGCAGTCAATACAACACATCCCTATTCATTCAGAGGACCAAAGCATTTATCATACTTATCTCCTGTAAAAAAACTAACTGATATTTGGACGACAAAACTCTGCAATTCCTTCCCTGAAAATAATCAAAATCCATCTATTGCTTGCATTTAAAATTGATGTATTTTTCTTCTGCACCATTGTTTTATAACAAGCAAGATTACACAATCTACATGAAATTTAGTGATTGAGGACTGGAATTGTCAAAGGTATTTTGTGCCAAAGTACTGCTGTTTAATCAGAAACCATATTTACGTTTACCAAGTATGTTCTTTGAATTGCATGCAAAGAAGTTTTTAAAACTAAACCATTCATATTTGACTACTTATCATTTTAAGTATATGTATATAGCTTCAGTAATTCCATAGAAATCTTATCACTGCTGGTATTTTTCACATAAATCTGAATTTTATTTTCTGGATAATCCGATAATTGACTCATTACTGAATAATTTTGCCTTGACCTGGACTCTATTTCATGATTATATCTTTAACATATATAAGGGACCAACTCAGCAATAGTTTAAGAATGTCAGGGAAACATAAGAAACTACAATGAGGTTAGGGATCCCTCATCTAAATGTATTTACAATTTTTTTGCTTTAAAACAGCATAACAAACATTAAATATGTACTACATTATTGAAATACATAGTTTAAAAAATACATAAGCAAAGTTTTTAATATAACATCAATATTCCAATTGAGTAACTCACAAAAATAAAGGATTAAAATTGAATTTCATGGAACAGTAAATACTAAATCTCTTTTAGATTGTGTAATCTTGGACATAACAAAAAAAATGGTCCAGAAGAAAAATTACCATTTTTATTGTTCGAAGGGAAGGAATTGCTAAGTTTTGTTACAAGAGGAGGAACTTTATCAACAGTAGTAAGTTAAAGATCTGAGAAAGAAAATTACATCAAACTTACAAAAAAAATTCAGACAAAAATGCAAAGATAGTCTTATCCATGTGGATAGGACTACCTATACTTTTCATTTGTTTTATTTCCGTTATTCAAATAAATCAACTTTTCTGTTAAACTGAAACATTTGATCAATATAGAAGCACTACTGTGGGCATCATTACAAACCTAATATTAACAGTAAAAAAGAAGAGACACAACAGATCCTGCTAATTGATTTCAAAGCAACTCGAGGTAATAGTATCACACGCTCTGCTATATAGTAGGAGAACATATACAAAAACTTGAGAAGAATTGCTCAGAATCGAATTACAATTTCCATATCATTTGGGTTTGGGACATAATTTAATTCTCCCATGTACTGACTGTTCTGACAGTACTGACAGAATGTATGAAGCCTTTCACAACGCAATTCATTTTGTCTCGCAAACAACTCCTCCCCTTTCTTGAAACATTCCATTAACTTCTTATGTGCTTCCCTCACCTTCTGCAGGCTTTCTTCAAAGTCCTGCAATGTTCCTTGAGTAGTAGGCTTCTTAACTCCTGCACCTTGAACTGAAGGATTTTGTTTCCTCTTTTTAGGATTTTTTTGTGAAATCTGTAGAGGAATTTCCACCCTCTCTTGCTGCTGCTGTTGCTGGTCATCAGCACATACCAATTCCTATTTGGAAAGAAAATATTTGGTGTGACAATATGTTTGTCTAAATGGCTGAGGATACATCATTTCTGAGTTATGCATGAATATAATGTGTTGCAACAATGTTTTGTATGTCATAATATGCAAAACTCCTTTTTTTTTTCTTCGGAAATCTGATGGATATAGGATTGCGGTGTAATTCTTCAACCAGTAGCACACATCCAGCTGCTTGCTTACACATTACCAAAAACCATCATCTTTTCTAAGTGTATGATATATTATACAAAATATTATAATGTTTCAAAAATGTAATAACTAAATTTATAAATGTGATAACTAAACTGTAACTAAGTTTGAAAGTAAAATATTACTGAGTGCCACAACAACCTATAAAAATATATAATAAAAAATAAAATAAACTTACAGAACTTTGAAGTGATTTTCAAAATATACTTAAAGCCATAAGTGTTTTTAAAAGTATAAAAGAAAATTATGTTTTTTATTACAGCTCAGCAATTCAAAAAGTCTTTACAAAATTCACAACTGGTGTTTGAGATTTGTTTTGTGCCTGCTCCTGTGTTTTCAGACAGGCTGTGTTTTGGCTGTAGATTGGGGGAGGGGGGCTTTCAAAAATATTTTTATGCTAGAATCATGATCAATGCTAGAATCATTGTCAACTACTCAATGTCATTTGGTTTTGCGAAATATTTTACCACCTTATCCACAGATACACTTTTCAAACACTCCTTTGGCTTCTGGTCTTAAAATCCAATTTGATTTACAGTATCATTGCATAAAATGTAAAGCTCTAAAGAAAATTATGGTTTAATATTGTATTTTTTAAGTGCAAATGCATACAAATTTTCACAATTTATTCTAGTTACCTTCAACAAGATGTTGAAGATTTATAACTCAAAAGTGGCAATAGTTTCCTGGCACAAATGATTAGTTTTTTCTGTGTTGAAGTGGGTTAAATGAGATGGAAAGTTGTTTGTGTTCAATATAGATGACATGTCATTGAAACCATATATCTTTTATGGTAATCACAAGATGCAACAGTAGGGGTATGTAACATAAGTATCGCTCACAGGAAGCCTGTGTATGTTTATGATTAGTAGTCTCTATGGTAATTGGAACCCGTCGAAAGCTGCTCTTGTAATAAACAAATTTTGGCAATGACAACCCACAATTATTTCATTGTAAATGCTAATGAAAACTCACCACAATACCAATTTCCTACTATTTCATCAAATCATGTTGTCATGCAATTTTTTCATATTTCATTTCTTCCTCCTTCCTTCTAACATCAAAAGAGCTACATCATGTGTGTACATATGTAGGAGATGAGATATGTACAAGATCCTGCATGTGTCTATAATGACATATGCCAATTTGAGACCTTATTTGAAAGAGCTCTAGATCCCAGTCTGAAAGGGCAGAATATGAAGCTGCAAAAGGAAGGGGGGGGGGGGGGTCAGAAAGGAGCTTTGTAGGGGTGACTAACTGTTCTCACCTCTTTTCTTTCTTGCTTCACGTCTCTCTTCAAAGAGCGGGGTTTGTCTCCTTCCTGCAAATATTATTTATTCATTGATTTATTTATATCTAGCCTACAGATAATTTAACCTGGGAGTGTTAAACCTCCCTAAATAGGTAGACTCTCGCCACTGTTTGCAATGTATCTCCCAGACAAAGCTACAACTTTTTGTGAATGTGAATGATCTGAAGCTCCACTTATTGAAATACATATTTTGTTTACTTTTGTACATGTCCCCCATTCCAATTGATGAAGAATCCTACATAGCAGAAACTTTGTCTGAATTCTTATGGCAAGAAAGGTAAAAATTGACAAAGTACACGTAAAAATCATCAAACATCTTATTATCTTTTGAAATTGTATTTAATATTATTTAATAAAATGATTTTGCCATGCTCTAAACAAACACATTTTAAATCATTCACAAACATATTTAGAAAGTCTTTGTATTTTTTCCACTTTGCAAGGTTTGAATTTTTTTCATTTTCCTACAGACATCACATGCACATCATCTTTCTCTTTGAGAAGAAATTGTGACAGTCAATCCTAGATAAGACAAATGATTACATTTTCTGAATAGGCACTTGATATAGACACGGCTTAAAATAATGCCCTAACACACACCACTTAGGCCACGAGCACAAAATGCATTAACACCAGTACATGCCACGGATCTGACAGGAATTCAGGAACATAAAATTGCTGTGGCTTGGATCTCGCAGATCTATATTGGGCACTCCCAGGTTAAATATCAATAACATGCTTTGTTCACCCAGCAGCTTCGTGACCTAATTTTCCAACTCTAACAAAGTAATATACAAGTTTTATAACAATAATGTAAGACAATTTACCAGCTTCAACAATTTAACATACTAATTCTACAACAATACACATGATTTATACACTCATTCTTTCATACTTGGTACCTTCCACCCAGGTACCTAATCATTGCCTTCCAATCGGATAGCTAACCTTTCTCTCAATTTTCCAACTGACATCAATTACTTTATTTCTTGTGGTAATTCATTAAACATTGTTATTCCTCCATAACATATTGTTATGTTACTTTTATGTTTTGTAATTTACTTTCTCACTACCGCACTGCGGCAGAGAGAAATTTAGGTAATGCTGTGCAAGAAAACGGCCAATTTTCGGCAGAAAAACCCTTGTTACAGCCCCAATGAAAAAGAGATAAATCAAGTTGCTAAATTTCGAAAAAAAAGGTCTAACACCTGGTATAGCCAGAATCCACATCTACTGTGAACTAGCCGCTTAACCATTTAGCCAATTCCCTCCAAAACTTATACTCCCCAATTGATCTAGCTCATATCACAGCCCCTTGAATTTGAAACTGATATTTTTGATTTGGGGGGGGGGGGGGGGCTAGTTCTACTGGAAGACTCATTTTCAACATTTTCAAAAAACTGACACAATTGTATTTGATTAAATGTTGTTCGTAAATAGTCTGAAGGGGGTTTAAGAAAATGGAGTAGGTCTGATATTGGTTAAAAACCCCAATTCATGTTCATCAAAAATAGATCTTCAAATAAAGACATCTTAATTTTTTCGAAAATATGATTAACTTTTTGAGTAATTGGAGGTCATCCATACTGAAAATCTTGTTCTTAGCAATTGTAAAAATAGAGGTGTTTTGAGACAATTGGATGCTGCATATCTTAGAATGTGTATATTATTTTATTATTTCTTGTTTGTTTCTCACATTGGAGCTTTTGTTAACAACAATGGTCCTCCAATTTATTACCTGCATTCCCCCGAAAACAAAGAATCTATTTCCTGTCAACAAATACTCTGAAATTTGTACACACTTACTCAATATATATTATTACTTACTGACTGTAAAGAGGACAGAGAACTTGTGGTGACATGTCCAACTTGATCCTTTTCATAATCATTGGATTCCTGTTTAACCTAAAGGCAAGAGACAGTCATTTTTAGGGAACGCTGACTGCTTGTAACTCAAGCCCACAAAAAATATTAACATAACATATATGGCACATACAATAATAATATTAATTCTCACATAACTTCCCATTCACCCGTTCTGAAAATCTTGTTCTTAGCAATTGTAATTATAGAGGAGTTTTGAGGCAGTTGGATGCTACATATCTTAGAATGTGTATATTATTTCTTTTTGTTTTGTTTGTTTCTCACATTGGAGCTTTTGTTAAATTAATCTTTTAGAAATTATCTAAAACCTATATACAATTGTGTACTTTAATTGAGTTAAATGTGAAAATGAATAGATAATTTCACTTTGCTTAATAAGATGTGGGAATGAAAAGTAATGCATGTAAAAACCAAGTAATTATATTATTTTTTCTATCTATTTTCATATTTTGCTAGCAGTATCAACAATAGTCTTCCACTTTATTACCTGCATTACCCTGAAAACAAAGAACCTATTTCCTGTCAACAAATATTCTGAATTTTGTACATATTTACTTAATATTTATTATTACTTACTGACTGTAAAGAGGACAGAGAACTTGTGGTGACATGTCCAACTTGATCCTTTTCATAATCATTGGATTCCTGTTTAACCTAAAGGCAAGAGACAGAAATTTTTTAGGAAACCGATTGCTGCTACCTGAAGGCCACAAAAAAATTAACATATGTATAGTAATTAATTGTATATACATTTAGACCTAAAAACAGATGTTAGACTACATTGACAAACTGTTCACATCTGTAGCACTTCTACAAGACTAGCAACATGTGGATTAGGGGGCACAGGAACTCTACGAGAGAATCGTTGTCAAAGAAACAAAGTTGCCGAACAAGAAACATTGGAAAAAACAATTAAGAGGAAGTATGTCAGCATCTACCAATGAAAATCTGCTTGAAGCATGCTGGAACGACAATAATGCTGTCACAAACTGCAATGGAGTTCATCCAATGATTACTGGCAGCCGGTACTCACGAGCAGAAAAGGAAAAATCTGTAATAATGCTAGGGCTAATAGACAAATACAACAAAAATATGGGTGGGTTAGATTTATGTGATCAGCATGGGTGCGTCAACCTGCAGATGGGGCATAAGATCAACGAAACGGTGGTGGCCTTTTTTCGCATGGGGCATTGATATGTGTTGTGTACAAGGATGACTTCTCTACTGACGCTGCAGAAATAACATTCCTCTACTAGAATTCAAGCGTCAATGTCCGTCCAGTATCTTGTATCTTATGGCACAGTAGCAATATCACCCAGTGTAAGAAGAACCTTTCCAAATTCAATTCACGAAGAACACATCACAAAGATCATGTAGTAGAGAAAGGTGAACAAAGGTATTGTCAATGCAAAGTAAGACGAAACCTCACTATATTCATTTGTAAAAAATTTAATGCATGGCTTAATCCAGCAAATTGTTTCAAAACATTGCATACTGCCTAGAAAATAGGATTTTCCTGATTAGAACCCTCAAAGTTATGTAAAATTATTCTTATGCTCCTTTCTCATTTCACAGAAGAAAATATATACTTCAATATTCTTCATGAGAATATTTCATCATTTACTCTTACTGCTTTATCCCGATGGCAACTTAAGTTGTCAGATAATTTTTTTATGTTGTCAATCATGTTTGATTTTGTACTCGAAAAACATTGTAAGAGAAGTCCAGAAGTGTTTGTTTTTCAAATTTCTTTAAAAAAATTCATCAGAAAATTACAGGCATTAAGGGGTTAATTATCACATATCTTCACAACAGATCTGTTTGCTATTTGATATTAGCAGTTCAACAAATCATACTTCAAAAGTTCCTTTAATAACAAAACTTGTAGTGTTTCCACTCTTTTATAATTTTGAAGATATTGGTTTAAAGTTTGAAATAATGGACCCACAATCCTAGTCTATCCTTTATTCAACACCAAGTCTAGAAAATTGATGTGAATATTAATAATTAAATAATACAATTTATTTAATAACACACAGTGTGTTTGAGAACTAAACCAACTTATTATACTTACTGATTGTAAAGAGGACAGAGAACTTGTGGTGAAATGTCCCATTTGATCCCTTTCAGAAACACTGGTTTCCTGTTTAACCTAAAGCAAGAGACAGACATTTTTAGAAAACAATGACTGCTATTGACTTAAGCCCATAAAAAAATATGACCATTTGTTATTAATAACATACATTATATACAATAATAATATTAATTATTACATAACTTCAGAACACAATTGTTCACTATTTGATATCGGAAGTACAACAAATGATACTTCAAAATTGCATTTAAGAACAAAACCTGTACTGTTTCAAGAATCTAAGAAGTACTGTGCAAGTGCCATTTTCTCTGAAAAAACACTAAGAAATAATAATAACGGTAAATTTAATCACAAAAAAATAAACAAAACACTGTATTTACATTTTGTTATATTTTATAAGCCAATTTTATATTAGCCGTTTCACCATTTAACATCAAAACAACCATATCCTAACATATCATAACAAACATAGAAGTCAAGATGTACATTTGTTTAAAATAAAGTAATACTCAAAATTACATATTAGGCAACTTTTATGTTTATTAATAATCAAGTATAATTGATTACTTTAAATCAAAATAGATTTTATTTTAAAATGACTTCAATTACAAAATTAGAAATTCATCTAATGGAACCTTGCTATGAAAATTATTCTGATAAAGTTTAAACCGTCCTTGTACAATGAGTTCATGAGGGATGGTAGGAAACATGTTAACCACGTCAAAAGCGACAGTTCTTAGTGATTCATTTATGGTCAATCTGGATAAATATTGAATGGTTTGAGTGCTATATTTGGATACATATTTATAGTTAGGAGGGTAAAAGCTCTTTTAATAAATTATTTACAAATTGAGAAAAATTTGATACTTGGTGTGGCAAAGTGACATGATCATTCCATATTGTATGAGCAGTTTAGAATAAAATTTTACCTCACCATTTCAGATTCAGATGAAATTTGATGCATAGGTAGTATGAATGAAAAAAAAAAAAAATTACAAATTTTCCGTAAAATATTTCCACTAGTTTGTGAAATACAGCTATCTTAAGTATTATGAAATTGGATTCCCCGAAAAATTTTAAATTGATGTAGAACCTTTCAAAATTAAGCTAGAGGGCTGTAAAAGGTGTCATTTTGCAGCATTCTTTGTGGCCTTTTGTATGTAATTAATAATAAGTAAGTAATTAGTAATAAGAAAGTAATATGTATGTAAGTTTCTCAAATTTGAATTTAAAATTTTGATTTTTTTCAAAAGAAAAAAAAGAAGAAAAAAAATTGTAAAACAATTCTTAATTATGGGTTCAAAATGCACAATATTTTCTTTCACTAGATTTCACTGATATAAAATGCATTTTATAACAAATTACAAGTCTTAATTTAAACAAATTAATAATTTAGTGATTTTTGTTGGTGAGTGTAATGGATTATATTATTATTATTATTACTATTATTATTGCTCATAATATTTTATTTTATTGTTAATTATCAATTAAAAATGACTTCACAATGGAAATTATTTTGTTGATTGAAATAAAAATGAAATTATTTTGTGTTCATGCATGCAGAGGGAATATTTTCCAGGTCCAGAACTCAATTTCATAATACCTTATGTAACTGTAATTCACAAATAAGTAGAAATATTTTCCTTTTTTATTCTTTATTCATACTACCTATGCATCAAATTTCATCTGCATCTGAGATGGTGATGTAAAATGACTGTATTGATTTAACGAAGAACAAACCAAGATTGGACTACTAAAATACAACATTGATGGCAAGAAATATAACATGTGTTCTGATAAGAAATATAGTTCCCTCAAATGAGAATAAAAGTTACCTGTGTCTTCATTTAGCCTTTTTAAATACAAAATGTTTGATGTCATTTGTGCTTGACACCCTGATGAAACAGAGTTATGATACAATTACAATCTCTCACAACAATAATTGTTGGCTAGTATGATAATTTTCTATTATTGAAACACCCATATATTATACATACACATGTACAATAGACAGAAAATTCTTAATTCCAAAATTGCAAATCAGATGTTTACATTTTTTGATACATTGCTTTCATTGTAAAACTACTTTTCCCTCACTATTTTAGCAATTACAAAACTCTAGCACTGTAAAACGAATATTTTAGTCGCACTTCTCTAAAATCTAATAGAACAGAATACTAGGAGCACTATTCTGTGTCACCACCGAGTTTTTTGTCCTGTAATTGGGAAAACCTAATCAGTCATATGAATTTATGGTAATTTCAATCCCCTAAAGTGAGATATTTTGAAGACCCCAGCCTACCACTTAACCAATCTGTTGTGAACTACTTGTGTGCTCTCAGTGCCTAAATTTACTGTTCAATTAAAACACTAAAAATTAAAAATTCCTCATGACAAAGTCTTTGACAAACCAACAACCAGAAAAAATTCTAAATGCCCTCACGGTAACTTTAAAGAAGCAGTAGCCTTAACTAACATGAAATCAGATATCTCCTTACATGAAGTTTACAGAAAATAGTTACCTCTTCTACTTTGATTACATTTTCAGCTAATTCTGCACTGCGAACCATTATTATTACTGCTTCCTTTCTGTTGCTCTTACTGGCAATATACCATACACAATAACAATCCTCCTTAATTTTTCCCACAACAGTGATGGCTGCCGGACCACGGCTGTCAAACACGCCCAAACTATCTTTAATTCTCGCGACTACCGTTAGTGCTGCACTCGAACGGGCGGCTCAGATAATAAAGTGAAGGGACCATGACATGTTGGGGGTGATAACGTATGATATCTCCACCAATTAGTGCACAGTATTTTTAACGTGTAGTGCTTCGGGCGTAACTTCAATTTATTTTATGATTCTATCGTAAATGTAGGATACCCTAACATGGAAATATCTCGGATGACAACAATATAAATAAATAATAATAAATGACAATAATAAAGTGAAAGATTTATGGGAATTAAATCCGATTTTTTCTTTTAAGAGAATAAATGAAAATTCTCTACGTCATAAAATTTGGAAAAAAAAAAGGTACCAATTTTTAAGAAAATCAAAACATCGTACATTCATGTAGTTAGTTCCATGATATCAGAACAATAGATCAAAATTTTAATATTTAATATGAAAACAATTATTTCTCAAAATGCTTTCAGAAAGAAATATTTCATCTATTCATTCTACAGTGATCAAAAATGTATTTGGGAACTACTAAAGGGAATGAAAACTGCTTCGAGAAATAAAAAAAAATGTCATAATGACAGTCATGTTATGTTTAACTATATTAAACTATCATGCGCTACAAATACATTACTCATGACATTGCAATAAAACAATTACATGAACATGACAAAATTAATTTCCACATTAACAATAGATAATCTATTAATATTCTCAACTGAAAATGTGCTGTCAGCTGAAAATGTGCAAGCAAAAATGCAGTTCTGCATTCCACTGCTTAGAAATACCATTTGAGATGACATATTAAGTCATGATTTCAATACTATCATTGAAATACTTAAATAATAAATTTGCTTCAAAACATATTTTATTGGAAAAGCAACGTATAATAATCAATTCTTTCCCCAAACAATTAAAAATTATTTTTGTTAATAAATTAAAAATGTTGAACACACAATAAATTTGAAAAACAAATAATAATTTCATAAGAAGCATTCTTCTTTAATGTCAGAAGCTTGGTTGTTTTACCCAAAATGCAATAGATTAATATCTAAAGTGATTCAGTTTAGAATTAAAGTAACTACATCATTTCATGAATTAATCTCTCCAGTTTTTATTTCAATTTATTTTTGCCAAATTTTTTTTACATAAAATTTTCTCTTGAAAAGTTATTCCATAACTAAGATGTCTGCTTGAATTATATTTGTACTAATTTGCAAATAATTTCCAATTTTCGTTGTTTATTGAATTGATGATACTCAAGAAATAAATAGTGACATTGAAGTAAATTTTGAAAACATTTGTAAACTATAGTAGTGAAAACTATTGAGTTCTTTTCTTTTCATTATGATTCAATGTCTCATTACCTTGCAACTCTTAGAGAGAATGCCAAGATGTTATTAGTCAGAAGGGGTTGCAGCAATTATGCTTATCATTAGGTCATACAATTTATGCAGGATACTAAAAAATTCAAGTTTAATGGTAGCAGCAACAAAATTATTGAGTTATCATTGTAGTAACAATAATCTTGAGTTATTATTGCCTATGATGAGCTCTCATCATTTTGAATTCTATTAAAAATGGAAGGCAACATCCATTTTATGTATAATGTTTTACAGTGCAGCTACCTCTAGAATGCAATCTTATTTCCAATGCTTGTGTTACGACTTCTATATCTAATCAAAAAACGCGCACACACAAGAAATGAAAGATGCACCAGATATATTTTGAAACAATCATTAATTTGTTGCAGAATAGGGAAATTTGCCAAATTTGTCAGCAAATACATTGAAAATTTACTTTGGATTGGAACATTCACACTCTGCAAGTATGGTTGTGTAGGGTGAAAGACAAAACAAAAATGGCAGGACTTCGGGTCGTGTATTTTGAGAAAATTCCATTGCTTTTTGTTGCCTCATCAGACTGAGAACTTGGTTCTGCCTGATGACCCTGCACTTGCCATTTCCCGGATGACGTAGTGACTTCAGGCGAAGAAGCTCCATTGTCCTGAGGCGCTGACCATCTCTTCCTCCCCTTTTGAGGCAGATCAGCAAGAGATATTTCACAGTGATAATAAAAATTTAAGTTTTTCTTAAATCTACAAAATATGAATCTCCCTTAAAACGTGGTTGTCATGATGTAACACGGCGTCGCCATCTAGCGCCATCTCGCCAGCTAGGCGAGCAACGTAAACGCTAATACTCCCTGCGCGTGCCAGCGACTGCCGAACACAGGAGTAGGGAACGAACCTCCGACGTGAGCCTACAGAGCTCCTCTGTGTATAACTCATCCTCAGTGTACTTTGTAAATAAACAGTTATAAAAGTTAATAAAAAAGGCTTTCATTACAGCGGTTACCTGATAATTATGAGACTAATGTAATACATTCTATTGCTGCAGTCAATCTTGCAGGTCCTTCTGTACAATAAATCAACATTTTAATATTCTCTAAGTGAAATAATTCAAACCAAATGTACGTGGTCCAAATTCATGAATGTAATCGATGGGGTTTTAAAGCACTCTATAACGACTATAGAATTAATCTTTTCCATTCTAAATCTGTGATTTTTTGTATTTTTTAAAGATTACATTGAAATATACTTACGTAAACATAGAACTGCACCACAGCATAATTTCCTTATGGGGCATTAGCAATGAAATTCTCAGCCCTGAAATGCGAAACTTCATTTACCCCTGCCTCAGATTCTTTCACGGTCACGGCTTCCTCTTTTGCAAGATGGTCTTGGCTTTGGCGAAGGAAATCTATAATAAGGGACTACTTCCTTCTGGGCCATCATGGATCGGGAGCACGTTTTTGGCATAGTAGTATACAACACGCGTTCACTCGGGTCACGGGAGCAGAACAACGGCATGTCCTGGCCCGTCTCTATGACAAAATCTTCGTTTTCCGCGGGGTTCGATGTCTTCGGTACAACTCGGATGTGTTCGTATGCACTCACTTTCTCTTTTTAATACTGCGACTGCAGTGCTTTCCGACGGGCGGATCTACAACTAATCCTTACGGAGAACGTATGTTAGACTCGGCCCTTTTAAGCTAGAAGCTCCTGATCTGGATTCTGGGGTGTCCCAACTATTGCCCATGGACTAGAGATATCTCTCCTCTGTGCTATTGCCCCGATATTTATTTATATATGATTCCTACTGAAACGTTGAACTCGTTCACCAATTGTAGCGGAATCTGCGCTGTTATTGGTGGACTGCAGCTACCGAGGCGGCTCTTTCAAAATATGGAGAAAATGGATATTTATGCATAGAGGAGAGATACATCTACTCTATGTATATATGAATAATGTGATTAACATTTCGTAAATCATAGACATTTCAGTTTCCTTCAAAAGAAACGAACATAATATATCTTTATAAATCGTTTAAATCATCAATAATATCATATTTTATGTCAAACTGACCAATTAATTCGAAGTTCTCTCCCAAATGGATATTTAAATATAAATGTATGAAAGAAGTATAATTTCTCATAGAATATTTATGAAGTGGGTCGATACTTTTACATAACTACAGCTATTTGAAGTTCATAACTTTTCAATTGTAACGTGACGAGCCCGCCGGACTCCACGAGACGGGAGGCCGGCGAGGGGGAGGAGTTGGCGATCTCTCTGGCGGCAGGCTGGCGGACACCAAGCTCCAAGGATGCGGGCAGGGGCATGCTGTCGGAACGTGGCTGGCAAAGCGGATGATATGTGACGACGAAGTGCGAGAAAACACTAAATCACACAGCAGCAACGGGAGTTTCATGAAAGAAGAGAGGAAGGAAGGACGAACGTCTGACATGTGTCTCCGACTCAACCCTGAGTCACAACAGCGCAAGCGGCACAGAGGGCCCAGTACGTGTGTCTTTTTGTACCCGCCGGGATTAATTCAGGCAATACGGCGCTTCTTGCGTGATTCAGAAAGGAGGTGCTGGTTCGAGTGGCCCAATTGATGGGGGAAAGGCTTTCAGGCGATGGAACGGTTGTTGCACTAAAGCAAATAATTGTTAATAGCACGGAATATGAGGACGAAGTAGTTCGAGAGCTCGCCGAAGCGACTAAGGAAATGTTCAGTGAAGAACGCGATAGACATCATGAGCTAGAACAGTTGCCTATCACGACGACAACCACGACACGGGAATCAATAGGTAGTACGAAACGAAGCAAGTGTACCGTAACGAAAGCAAGTGTTCAGATTGAAAACGTGATGGATCGGTTTAGGGGCGAAAATGATATTACAATCTTCCTTAGTGTTTTCGAAGCACGGGTAAGGCAACTAGGAGTGCCAGAGTCTGAATGAGTGACAAACTCCATGGCACTATTGCCTAATCAGGTAAATTCATGGTTGATTCGGAAGCGGGTGGCGTAGAATTTAAGGAAGCAAAAACGCGGCTGTTGGAAACGTTTAAATTTAATTCCGAAAGATTTTGACAGTTATGAATAACGTGAACGTCGTACCAAAGACGTGCGGGAACCACTTGCAACGTTTATGCCAGGGAATTAAGTAACTACTGTAAGGAATGGGTCGCGGGGCTTAAGATTACAGAATTTAATGAGCTCCTAGATTTAATGTTTACGGGCCAATTAAAGCGGAGGGTGTCAGCGGAAATGCGCGACTATTTTATAGATGAGTGGGGAGATCTGCAGCGTCTCTCGAGCTAGTAAAGAAACTCGAGAGCCATGAAAACAACTGAACAGGTCGGAAACGCAGTTCTCGACGTTTACCAGCAAAGAGAACACGCAGGTAGAACGGGTGGATCAAGCAACGACAGCAACCGCGAGCCACAAAACTGCGGGAATCGAAGTTTAATCACACAGACGATTTTGGAAGGCTAAGGCAGCCACCTGCTGCAAGTGTGGGGAAGGCACTTCCGAAGGCAATGTCCGGATCGGAAGAGCGTGGAAAAGATAAACCACGTGACCGAAACGCATGGCCAAGTCTTCTTGAAACCTTTCACATGTGTCGGAAAGGTAAATAATTTTTCCGTTAAATTACTTCGTGATTCTGGTGCTGAATATTGTAAGTGGC